CAACCTTAATATCTTCTTCATCCATCACCGTGCTGCAAATTGGCCCAGTGGTTAAGATTCTTTGTCTTCTTGATATTGAGCTTCAAGTCATATTGAAGACTACAGTCCTTGACCTTCTGCAACAAGTGTTTCAGGTCCATCTCAGTTTCAGCAAGCAAGAGTGTGTCATCTGTCCTGATGCCACATTCCCCCTCATCCCAGGAACCCAAATGTTCTACATATAGGTTGAAAAGGTATGGAGACAGGACATTCCTGATGCAGTCCCTTCCTGATTTTGAACTATGCAGTGTTTCCCTGCTCTGTTCTGAGGATTGTTTCCTGCCACAAGTATATGTTTTGCGTAAGCACAGTCAAGTGTTTTGGAATTCTCCTTCTCCTCAAGATTAACTACAAATTGTTGTAATCCACACAGTCAAATGTCTTTGCATAGTAAATGAAACACAGATAAATATCCCTCTGGTACTCTGCTTTCTGCCATCTGACATTGGCAATAATGTCTGTAGTGTAATGGTCTCTTCTAAGTCCAGCTTGTATTTCAGATAGTTCTCTATCAATGTACTGTTCCAGTCGTTTCTGGGTACTCTTGAGCAGGATTTTGGTTGCATGTGATAGGAGTTAATATTGTACAATAATTTCCACATTCTGTTTGGGTCACCTTTTTTTTTTTTTTTTTTTTGGAATGGGAATAAATATGGATCTCTTCCAGTCAGTTGGCCAGGTAGTTGTCCTCCAGATTTCTTGGTACAACCTGATGAGCATGTCCAGGGCAGCATCTGTTTATTGAAATATGTCAACTGATATTCCATCAATTCCTGGTGCTTTATTTTTTACCACAAGCTTCAGAACAGCCTAAACTTCCTGCTTCATCACCATTGCCTCTTGATTATAGGTTTTTTCTTGACATTCTTCTGTGTCAGCAAATTCTTTTTGGTACAGAGACTGTATACTTCTTCCATATTCTTTTAATACTTCCTGTATCACTAAATATTCTATCCATAGCATCCTTAACACGTTGCCACACACTTTTAAAATTGATAACCATGCTTAGAAACACATTTGCCATCATTTGCGGCAATGTGGTAAATATTGCGACTTGAGACTTGAATTGTTCTTTAGTTCCTTCAGCTTAAGGAATGCCAAGCAAGTTCAGCCCTTTTGATTTTCAGATTCCACTTCATTGCACATTTCATCATAATACTTTGCTTTGTCTTTCTATGCTGCCTTTTGAAATCTTCTATTCAGCTCTATAACCTCTTGATTTCTTCCCTTTACTTTGGCTTCTTGGCATCATTCATTTTGGTCTTCTTCCTCTTCTGTCTTTGTAATGATCTTTTATATTCTTCATGGATGATATTCTTGATATCCTCCCACAGCTCATCTGGTCTTCACTCAATAGTGTTCAGGGCCTCAAACCTGCTCCTTAGTTGATTTTTAAATTAAGGTGGAAGAGACTCAATGTTAAATTTTGGTTTCTGTGAATTTGATTTGACCTTCTTTAGCTTTAAGTTGAACTTGCATATGAGTAGTTGATGGTTTGTGCTGCACTCAGTACCTGGCCTAGTTTTCACTGCTAATGTTGAACTTCTCCAACAATTCCTTCCACAGATGTAATCAATTTTATTCCTGTGCATACTACTACACAGTGGTAATAACAAAAAACAGCGTGGTACTGGTACAATGACAGGCACATAGACCAGAGAAATAAAAGAAAAAAAACTAAAAAACAGACCCAGCTATCTATGGTCAACTCATACTCAGCAAGGAAATCAAATGGGGAAATGACAACCTCTTCAACAAATGGTGTTGGAAAAACTGGACTGCTCTGTATTTTATTCTTAATTCATCTCTTCTTTAGCATTTTCTAAGTGGCTCTCCAATAATTTGTGCTGCTTGTCTCCTCTCTAATCTCTACTAATCTAATCTACTAATCCAGTCTATAGGCCAGTATGTTTTGACAGTTCATAGATCAGCGGTGGACCACAGACAGCTCTTGAATATACTCATCTAGTTTACTCTGGAAACTCTATGAACTTGAAGAAATGATGAAAGTTATACAAGTGTTCAGGTCTTTCATTTATGGGGTTGCTATGAGTCATCTACAACTTGACAGCACTTAACAACAACAGCAAATATATATGTATAAGTATATATGTATACATATGTGTGTATGTGTATACATGTTTATAAGCATGTATGTGTATATACATGTGTACGTGTACTTGTGTGTGTGTGTGTGTGTGTGTGTGTGTATTTACTTTCACTTCTACCATCTATCTCTCTCCTATAGGAACCTGGATGTTAACTGCTACAAGCTCCAGTCCAAGAAGCCGTAATTTAAAGCTGAGATTCAAGGATGTGAAATGTATCCGGGATGATTATGATTATTCATATCATCTTACATATGGATCTTCCCTCTCTGCAACCATGGAAACTCGGAAAATGCGTGATCGTTCAGAAAATGAAGAGAATAATGAAGAAGATGATTACCAGGATTACCTAGTTTCTAAGTTAGGAATTAGGTCATTTAAAAATGTATCTTTGAATCCTGGAGAAGATGAGCTTAATCTTACTGCCCTAGCTCTGGAAAATAGCTCTGAATTTACTCCTCCAAATACAGATAGAGCTATAAGTTCAAATTCTTCTACCCCAAGTAACATTAGTTGGCTTGTAGACAATGACATCTTAGCAGCTCAAAAATCCCTTCCTCAACCAACAGCCACAACCACTGGTTCCCTCCTGGGGCACCTTGCTGGCTTAGACAAGGATGCCACTCTCAACTCTTCTACAGCAGAGCATCCCAATTTTTACTCTAAGGACACTCTAGAGGATCCTCTCCAGTCAGCTATTACAAGGGTAAGTGTACATCCTCTTGTTGGAGTAGGACCCAGAAGTCAGAAACATGCTAAACATAAGGGAGTGAACCCAGGAAGAGACCAAGCAGTAAAGCCCATGATTTCCCAAAAAGAAACACCAGCACATAAAACTGGGAGGCATTTAAGACAACACAATATCTCTCCTTCCAGAATAGAGCGCATGGAGGAATTTCCTAGAAATCCAGTACTTTTAAAACAGAAGAATCCATCTAAGATTTTGGATGGAGACTGGCATTTAGTTTCTGAGAATGTTAGCTACAAAATCATCCAAGAAACTGATGAAGATACACCTTCTAATAGGCTGCTCAATAGCTCTCAGGGTGATTCAAGGACTTTGGGAAATAGCAAGCCCTTTGCAAATAAGCCTGGAAAGCAGAATGGTCACCTAAACTTTTCTGCAGTTAGACATAATTCCTTACAAGTAAGACAGAATGGAGAAAATAATGGATTAAAGAAAACGTTTTACATCCGGACACGGAAAAAGAAAAGGGGACAGAAATATGCACACCGTGTTCCTATGTCTCCCAGAGGCTTTAACCCACCAAGAAGAGAGGCCAACATCACACTTTCAGGCAGCAGTGTTGATGATTCCTTGTTACCCTATACGCCCAGTGAAATGACTCTTCATGCATACCTCAACCTGACACTGCAATCTAAGACCCTTACCCCAGTAGGTTTACTTATCCGTGCCCTTCTTCAGTACCACCGAAACAATGGCACACGTCTCACAGACTACCTTTTGAATCTTCATCAAGTAGAATCCACAGAAAAATCCTCTCAAATTAAAGATTTTGATCCAATTACATATCTCAACCAGACACAGAGATCTATGAACCCTAGCCTGTTAGCTTTACTTCTTGGCCTTAATCAGAACCACCTAAATAATGACTCTCAGGAGAGAGGCTACCCTCTGGATCTTTATGAAGTAGATTCCAAAGGGGAATACTCTCAAATTCAAGATCCTGATTCAATGTACTTTTCTCTAGACCCCCATAACAGCACCTTAGCTACAGAGCTTGACCTCAACTATGACCTAAGTTATGAGTTACCCCTCAATGACAGTGATCAAGTGTTTTCTTCCATGGAACCTGAAGTTTGGCATGCAACTGATTTTCCAGACGTTAGTCAACAATCTGAATCACCAGACCTCGGCCAGCCCAGCCCAGAAGACTTCTCTTCAGAACTCAGACAGACAGTCCTCTCTCCTGACTTTGGACAGATGACCATTTCACCGGACTTTAGTCATATAAATCTCCCCTCAGATGTTAACCAGACAATCCTTTCTCCAGAAGTCAGCCAAGCAACTCTCTCCCCAGACCTCAATAAGGTCACCTCCTTGCCGGAGGACTTCTCTTCAGAACCCAATCAGACAGTCATTTTATCTGACTTCAGCCAGGCAACCATTTCTCCAGAATTTAGCCAGCTAAACCATCCTTCAGAACTCAGTCAAACGACCTCTTCTCCAGACCTTGAAGAGATGACCTCTCCTTCTGAATCTAGTCAGTTACTGCCTCTTCCAGAATTTGGTCAAACATTGTCTTCTCCAGACCCTGATCAAATGCCATCTCCTCCATTCAATGACACTTCAATACTAGACCAATTTTACTCATCAGTTGTAGCTGGCCTTTCAAGAGAGGATGCAGATTACAATGACTTTTTTTCAAGACAGGTGGCTTCCATCAGTGAAGAAGACGAGTCCGTTGAAATTGATTTTGTGCGTTACGATGATCCCTACCAAACTGATACTAGAACAAACATCAACTTATCTAGAAATCCTGACAGCATTGCAGCGTGGTACCTCCGCAGTAACAATGGAAACAGGAAGAAATATTATATTGCTGCTGAAGAAATATCCTGGGATTATTCAAAATTTGCACCAAGGTTTGGCTAACTTTCTTCTATTTTTATTTTTCTGCTACTGCTAAAAATTAATTACAACAGTCCATTGAGATAATTCTACTTTGATTATGTTAGGTGTGGTATTTGCTTCTTCCACTACCACCTGGCCTAAACTATTTCATTTGTTAATTCCAAGAATAACTTCTCTACTTAATACATAAATAATATGAAAATAATAATTGTGAAAAACCTTTGACATTTCTATAGTAAAATGGGCTTCTCTCTGCTCTTCTCTTACTATATATGTTCATAATCCCCCTATGTTAACAGAGATTCCAACCCAACAATTGCTAGAAAGATCATTGGCATTTATTTCAAATCCAAATATATATGTAAAGATCTTTAGTTAAAAAAAAAAAAGATCTTTAGTATATACTGATTGTGTGTGTGTGTGTGTGTGTGTGTGTGTGTGCGCGCGTGCGCGCGCGCGCACGCGCATGTGTGTTTGTTTTAGTGATCAGTGTTAACCACATAGCATCTTAGTGAAATTTCATTCTAATTCCATGAGATTCCATTGGCAGAAGCACCAGGAGCAAACAAAGGTTAAATTAAAAATGAAGTGCGACCAGGGTGTTTCTTTCAGGCAAGGATGGTGCAGCTTCATTTCACATACTTAGACATGTTGTCAGGAAGGACCAGTCCTTGGAAAAAGACATAATGCTGAGAGAAGGTAGAGAAAGAGAAAGGGAAGAAGACCTTGAACAAGACAGATTGACACAAGTACAACACTAGGCTTGAGCATTTCAGAGTGGGCGAGGGTGGCGCAGGGTAGGGTGAGATTTAGAGCTGTTGTTCATCAAATTGCTATGGTTGTAGCTGACTCGATGACATTTAATAATGACAAAACCTCAGCTGAAACAGCCTTTACATAGTGATTTGTTTTTACTTAAACTAGGGCTTTAACCTGGATTATAGAATTAATCATTCAAAAATTCTTTAACGAGTACTTATTTTCTCCCAGCCATTGTGCTAAATGAAGATACAATATATAAATACATATGGACTTACTTTCATGAAATGTATGGTTTACTGGAATTGGTAGATATGAATCAAGTGAGTAAGTGTGAAATAGATCCTTTACAAATGCCAGGAAGAAAGGTATATACTTAGTGACACGGAAATTGGGAAACTTGGCCATGGGAAGTGGGAATTGAGCCAAGACCTGAAGATGAATAGCAGTGTTCTAGGCAGAGATGGTGCATTGCAAGTAGACAGAAGAGTGAGATTAAGGGCCAGTGGTAGGAGGAAGCCTTGAGGCTAAGTAGATAATAACATCTATATATTGTTTATTCATTTATGCATTCAACAACAACAAAAAAAAATGTTTAAGTACTCACATGTACAATCAACACTCTTGGTACCAGCAGCCAGGAAATTAAAAGATGAATTGCATTGGGAAAGTCTCCTGTCAGAGACCTCTTCAAGGTACTGAGGAGCACCAATATCAGTCTGGAGACTAAGGTGCGCCTGATACAGACCATGGTCTTTGCTATTACTTGCTATGCTTCAGAGAGCTAGAAAATGGCTAGGGATCATAGAAGGAGAGTCAATGCCTTTGAGCTTTGGAGCTGGAGAAGAGTATTGAATATACCATGGACAGCTAGGAGAACAAACAAGTTTGTCCTGGAAAGCATGAAGCGAGGCTATTCCTTGGAGGCAAGGATTCTGAATCTTCATCTGACATACTTTGGACGTGTTACAAGGAGGGACCAATCCTTCGAGAGGGAAATCATGCTTGGGAGAGTGGAGGGACAGTGCAGGAGAGGAAGACCCTCAATGAGATGGATTGATTCAGTCACTGGGGTAATGGGGTAGGCATATCAGACACAATAAGATTGGCAAGGGATAGAGTAGGGTTTAGGGCTGTTGTACATAGTGTTGCTATAAGTCACAGGCGACTTGACGGCATATAACAATGACAACAACTATTCACATGTTCCAGACAATGTGCTAGCACTGGAAATAAAACCATGGGCAAAACATGCATGATCTCTGCCCTCATGAGGCTTGTATTGTAGTAGCAGAGGTAGACATTAACTTCAAAAATTTTTCATAAATATATGAACAAATTATAAATTACAAATCAATTATGTATGTTACAGGGATGTTTTCTATAAATATATCTATATGTATGTAGGGGGGGTGTGCACACACACACACACACACATTAAGGGTACTCTGGTGGCCTAGTGTTAAGGACACATGGTTCAAATAAACTAGCTACTCCATGGGAGAAAAATTAGTGATCTCATCCATGCAATTTACAGACTCTGAAAACTTGCTGGAGTGTCAGCTGAGTTGGTTCTGACTCAATGACATGTAGCAGATGTATGTGTGCATATGTATTTATGTCTGTGTGTATGTAAAGGTACATGCATTTGTGTCATACTATAGAATTATAAAGAGATACAGGGAAATTTGATCTGCTATAAAGGATCATGGGGGATTAACCTAAGAAATTATATTTGATCAGGGAACTGAAGAACAGTCTCTGGATCATATTTTTACTCATTCATATTTTTTTCCACTAAGAATTATTAGAGACCTATTCTAGATTAGGCAATCTACTTCTCAGAAACAGATTATTTCCTAAATTTGAAGTCTTTCATTTCACCTTTTAAACAATACAAATACCATCCTTTCAGTGGTGACATGGATGATGAATACGCTGATGATGCTCCTAAGAACACTGTATATAAGAAAGTCGTTTTTCGAAAATATCTTGATAGCAGTTTTACCAAGAGGGATTCTCGTGGGGAATATGAAGAACATCTTGGGATTCTTGGTCCTGTTATCAGAGCTGAAGTAGATGATGTTATCCAGGTAAGTCGACACTGAGTATTAGAAGAATCTTCAAACCACAAGTAAGTTGTCAAGGTGAAGGTGGAAAAGGCATAGCTGATTTGATGTTAATGTTTTGTTGTGCTTTAGGAGAAAGTTTATGTAACAAATTCATTTTCCAAGCAACAGTTCATACACAAACTGTTACAGTCCTTGCAGTATGTCAGTTCTCCTTTTTTCCCTTCCTGGGTTTGCTATTTCCATTTGCCTGATCTTCCTAATTCTTCATGTCTTCTCTCCTCTTTGGTTTGGGTAAATATCGCCTTGTTGGTTTCTTACAATTGACTCTTCTGAGAAGCACATCCTTACTGCATCATAATTGTTTATTTCATAGACTGGTCTACACATTGATATTAATTGGCATGGTCTCAGGAATGTCTTCAAGTCAAGACAGAAGGTTGTCTTGGGATGATTGTCTTGGTGAGAGAGGGTTCCTTCAGTCTCTTATCCATCTGTTTGATCTTTTAAAATGTTTTCAACTTTGAAGTTTATTCTATGTTTTTAAACCTTTTTAAGCAGGATCTTAGTCTTCAAAAGTAATGAACATCTTGTAGAATGAGTACAATGATTCAAGGGGGTAGAAACAGAAGGATGAGGACGTGCAGGGAGAAGGGAGAATTAATCATGGAGTTGTACAATTTGATGGGTGGGGGGTGAGGGAAATTGGAAGATTCTGGTGTGAAAAACAATGTATTTTAATTTTGTGACTACACCAGTATAATTTTTAAAAAGGAGGGGGGGAGTAAGGAACATTCAGTTCTTTTCAAAGACTCTTTGCCAAACATGTTGGCAATCCTCATAACAAAAATAATAACCTTACAATTTTTTTAAAAAAAGCCTTAAAACTATATAATCTGGAGAAAATGACATGGTAGTTCCTATCTAAACCTAATAGAGGTAATGTGTCTACTCAAGAGTGATTCAATTGTGCCTCAAAATACTGCTTGGTGGCAGGAGTGTGCTAGTAGAGAGTAGTGCTTTCTTGCAAAATAATGAAGTTAAAGAAGAGTAGATAATTAGGGATGTGAAGAGGTCTCCATGGTTTCAAATTAAAATAGCAAGCCTCCCAAAGTAAGTATATCTAACCCTGGTCATTTTCTCAAATATCCTGTATCCTCTTGTGCAGGCAGCTTTTTATGGCCATCAGAGTTTATAGTCCCTATCTTATCTCATGAAAAAGATAGGAAAGGGCAACTGTATCTAAAGTAAATTGTTCTCGATCCAAAACCATAATCTATTACATGAAACTCTGCTGGCCTCTTGGCAAGAAGCTTCTCTGCAAAGTGCCCCTCAGGAGAAAGATGGGCATTCTCCTCCCTTGTCATTAACTGCCTCTGCAATCCCACTGGAGGATCAGCTATGAATCAGTGATGACTCACTGGTACACAACTACAACTATACCTATTTAAGCATTTGTAAGAATTTCCTGCACTTACACAAGGGAGCTCTAGTGGCCTTGTCTTACAGGTGGTCTTTTTTCTAAGCCAAAGGTTGTGCCTTTCTGGCAGTTCAAATGCACGAGAAGTCTGAGGTAGAAAGATGGGCAATACCCTCCCATGTGATTTATAGTTTTGGAAGTCCATATGGCGAGGTCAGCTATGAGTGGGTTCCAACTCAATGGCAAGGAGTTATTTGTTTTAATTAAGGGCTCTGTTGGTGTTCTGCTGCTCATCAAAGGATTAGCATTTCTAGCAATCTACTCTCAAAAGTCACTTGCATTGAAAACTTTGTGTTATTCTACTCTGAATGACATGTGCTGCTATGAGTTAGAATTGACTTGACAGCGACTGTTTGGTGGCTTGGTTGAGCTGGAACACTTTTTTTTTTTTTTCATTTTAGTTTTTCGTCAAGCTTAAATACATAAGTAGAACATTCCTTTCTCTAGGTTCATTTTAAAAATTTGGCATCCAGACCATATTCTCTTCATGTTCATGGACTTTCCTATGAAAAATCTTCAGAGGGAAAGACTTACGATGATGATTCACCGGACTGGTTTAAGGAAGATAATGCTGTTCAACCAAACGGCACCTATACGTATGTATGGCATGCTACTGCTCGATCAGGGCCAGAGAACTCTGGCTCTGCCTGTCGTGTGTGGACCTACTATTCGGCAGTGAACCCGGTAGGTGCATCCTCAAAGGTTTCTATCTATAAGACTCCCTGCTCTTATAACCTGAGCCCACTCAATGGCAAAGTCAGAGAGGTTTCTTGTTAAGTGTCTCCGCTTTTGCTCCTCTTAATAAACACATTCAGGACTGAAGTCAGTTTTCCACAGCTACCATAACCAGGGGCAAAGTGCACAACCCCTCAAAGAGCTGAGAAAGAGGACTATTTCAGCAGAGAGGAGTAACAACCTCTTGAATAGTTACCCCCGTTAACAATAAGTGCTTTTTCTCAGAGGAAGATACTTATTTGCACTTCCCTTCAAAGACAATTAGATTTCTTCTGTACTTTCTTTATATTTTTAATTAAATATTTTTTCATTCATGTTGTTATGTGCTCTCGAGTTGCTTGCAACTCATAGCAACCCTATGTACAAGAGCACTAAACCCTGATTTATCCTGTGTCAACCTCACTGTCTCCGACTGACCTATTCCCACTCCCCAATCATTGAATCGATCCATCTTATCGAGGGTCTTCCTCTCCTGCGCCATCCCTCTACCCTCTCAGACATGACGTCCCTCTCCAAGGACTGGTCCCTCCTTGCAACATGCCCAAAGTAGGTCAGATGAAGCTTCAGAATATCCTTGCCTCCAACGAGCAGCTCGACTTCACCCTCTCCAGGACAAACCTGTTTGTTCTCCTGGTGGTCCATGGTACAGTCAACACTCTCCTCCAGCACTACAGCTCACAGACATCAATTCTCTTTCTATCCTTCCTAGTCACTGTCTAGCTCTCTGATGCATAGACATTGTGTTTCACACATTTCTTAGTTCACATTGCATTTCATATGATCATTCCCATATGTTGTGTCTTCTAAAATTAATCACCTTTGATCTATGCCCACCATCTTTTCTCAGATCCCCCTGGATTTTTCCTAATTCCTTCTTTCTTTATGAAAAAATTACAAATCAAGACTCCCTTATTTCAAGCATAATGGAGGAAACAGCAGATTTTTATTTAAATTCCTGCCCTGCCTTTACTGAGTTATCCTAAAATAGTGCTTTTTAACTCTTTCTACATTAGTTACTCGACAGTACATAACAACAAGAACAACAACATTAGTTACCTAAATTTAAAATACAGAAACAATACATAGCACATAATAACTACTTGGTAAATTATTTATTTGGAGAGTGAACTTGTATTTATCATATAGAATTGTTGACAGGATTAAATGATACTAGAAGGAAATAATTTTAACATTCTAGTAAATGCTCATCGTTTATAGAGTCACTGTGAGTTGCCTAAGACTTGACGGCACTTAACAACAACAACAGTAAATGCTCAAGGGAGCTCTGGTTGCTCAACCGTAAGGAGTTGTGCTGGCAACTCAAAGACTGTTCGAATCCACCAGCTGCACTGAGGGAGAAAGATGGGCAATCAAGTCCTTGTCAGTTTCCTGCCAATGAAAACTCGCTGAAGGGTCACCTATGAGTCTGTTCTGACTTGATAGTACATAACAATAATAACAACAAAGTAGATGCTCAAGACATAGAAGCCATTCTGTTTTGTCACTATCATCATCATCACTACCATGTCGGGATAGATCACTGGTGGGAGGAAAAGAATATGAATACAACAAAATTAAATTCCAAATACCCACAACTATTAAAGTATTTCTTATACTCGTAAAACTCAAAGCCTCTCATTCCACAAGAGTTATGGTCAGAAGAACAAAGAAAACCCTGAGAAAGGAGGAATGCATGTCGTTTTCTCTTGCTGTGTTCCAGGAGAAGGACATCCACTCAGGCCTGATTGGTCCCCTGTTGATCTGCAAAAAAGGGACACTACACAAAGTGAGCAACATGCCTGTGGACATGAGGGAATTTGTCTTACTTTTTATGATCTTTGATGAAAAGAAGAGCTGGTACTATGAAAAGCCCAAAAGGTCTCGGACACTCGGAGCCTCAGAAGTCAAAATTTCTCATGAATTTCCTGGTATTTTTTTTCCTCTGATTTTATTCTCATCTCTGAATGAAAGCTGACTGGGTTACAGTGGTCCCTGCCTCATAAGCAGACCCAGCATGAGACACTTATTGAGGAGCCAGGGGCTACATGTAAAATGTAAAAAGCTCCTTACACATTTCAGAGAGCTGTAATCTGGCAGGTGATACCTGTAGAATATTTAAAAGATAGTTAATTAAGTGTGATGCGAAACAGCTGAGGGAGAAAGCCAGCATGCTTGGATTGCTGTTTTGTTGTGTCTGTTAAGTAAGGATTGAGCCCAGGTGTGCAGAGCAGAACCGCCCTACAGCGTTTTCAAGGCCATGACCTTTCAGAAGCAGATCTGTTTTCCAAGGTGACTTTTTTGTGGGTTTCGTCTATCAGCCATTCTTCTTCTTGTTGAATGTGTAATCATTGGCACCTTCAGGGACTCCAAATGCTTAAATTAGCAACATATTAAGAAGGAGTTAGCACTGCTCTGTATGATTAAAGGTTAATAAACTGACCTCTTAATCTCTAAAAGAGCAGGTGCTATGCTTTGCTGTTTGTAAAGAAAAATGACTGCATGTATCTCTTATGAAATAACTAACAGTTCTAAGTCTCGCAGCTGCTGTTTCTCATCACAAGCATCTGGAAACAAAATGAAAGGGGATACTAGGAAACCAGGAGACAGGAGAAGAGTGGCAAGAGAATGTTTGGGTGCTCACCCTGGGGAAAGTATACCTACCCTGAGATTCATTTAAGAATTTAGCCTGCAAATTAGCAACTGAATTAGAAGACATTTTAGAGAAAAGCAGACTTTTTTTTTCCATATTTTATTAATTTTCATAAACATTTACAGAGATTTCGGGTTTCCACTCATTCATTGTTGCACTATTCTCTCTACCCTCCTCCCAGTTTGTTCTTGTCCAAGTGCCACAGTGCTTGTCAAAGCCAGTTCTGATTAATCTTCTTTGTCAGTGTGTCCTTTGCCATTCCCTATCACTCCTCCCTGAGAGAGACTTCACCCTGAGTCATAAGGAAAAGGGGATGGCGTATTCTCTTAGCTACTTCCTGCTGAAAAGGGACGCTGTGGGTTTCAGGGTGAAGATCTTCTCTCACTACTCTAAAGGGCCCCTTTGGCAGTAGGAAACACATAGACTATTATGGAGATTGATTTTGGAATTTAGATGCACTCTTATTGATTGTGCTTGGCTGTACATGTTCATATCCTTGAAGATGTATCATGGGGGTGTTGCAACCTAGAAGACACAAATTTGACTAACAAGTTATAAGTACATGAGTCCAAAATTTTTGGAAAGTAAAAGAAAAGATTCTTTCATTGTTTTACAAACCCTCCCCCAGGTCCCCTCCACCATGTAGCCCTCGCTCTAGTCTCCTGTGATGACAGAAATACCTAGTTCTATATCTCGAAAAGCAGACTTTAGGTTTGGAGGAAAGGAATGAGAATGACTCAAGGATTAGAGTGACTCAAGGATAGCATTAGAAAGACTCACAGCAGGGGAAGCACTAACAAGATTTTAGGTTGTTTCCAGAGTTTGATAAACAGACGGGTTTGCTCTGAGATTATTAACTCAGATGGCCTGTGTTTCTGGTGTTGGGTCAGGCCTCAGTGTAGTTGGGAAGGGGGTTGCCATTGCATGGGGAGGAAGAATTTTATTTTTATATAGCATCCACTTAAGTGCCACCTGCACCTCCACCAGCCACCAAGGGTCTTATTAATTGTCACACATCACCTCTCCTACAAAGCACCTTCCTAAAAATGCTACCTGATCCTACACCATCCTCACAAACTCAGCTGCTCTTAAGTCTATTGTTGCAGTCACTATGTCATTTCATCTTGTGAGGGTCTGTTCTCCCACCTCCTCTCACACAGTCTACCTTTTGTTATTCTTATTTTCCTTCACTTAATTTTTCTATTAGTGTGTGTTATGACTGCATGTTGTTGTTGTTGTTAAGTGCTGTCAAGTGGCAGGCGACTCATAACGACCCTATATGAAGGAGAGTCCTCAACGCTTATGACTGCATGTTGCTGTTGTTGTTATGTGCCGTCAAGTCACTTGCGACTCATAGTGACCTATCTATGTACAACAGCCCTAAACTCCGCTCTGTCCTGTGCCAATCGCACTGTCTCTGACACTCCCATCCCAATAATCCCAGTCACTGAATCAATCCACCTCATAGAGGGCCTTCCCCTCCTGCGTTGTCCCACCACCCTCCCAAGCATGATGTCCCTCTCTAAGGACCGGTCTCTCCTCACAACATGTCCAAAGTATGTTAGACGGAGCCTCAGAATCCTTGCCTCCAAGGAGCCACCAGGTTTAACCCTTTCCAGGACAAATCTGTTTGTTTTCCTAGCAGTCCGTGGTATTCTCAATACTCTTCTCCAGCACCACAGCTCAAAGACATCAATTCTCCTTCTATCCTATTTGGTCATTGTCCAACTGTATAACAAGTGATTGCAAAGACCATGGCCTGTATCAAATGCACCTTAGTCTCCAGAGAGACACCATTGCTGTTGTTAGCAGGTGATGTCGAATCAAGTACCTCTCATAGTGACTCTGTGAACAACAGATCTGAACTCTGTCCTGTGCTGTGCCATCCTTATGGTCTGTCCCAGGACCCCACTCACTAGTGATGATATTGCAGTGAGCTGCCATCAAGCTGTCCTCAGGCTCATGGTGACCTTATACACAATAGCACCTAAGTGATTGTCCTAAAGTAGATTACCAGGCCTTTCTTTCTACTCACCAAATATAGAATAGCAAGAAAGCATTAATTATATTGAACAATTTATAATATAATCATCAAGACATTTTTGCAGTAGACTCCAAACAGTACTTTTTCTCTCTCCTCTCCTATCGATGCCTCAGAACAGTACCCTTGTTCTCAGGCATATGCCTCAGAAAAGTTCTCAGCCTAGGAGAAAAGACCAGGCTGAAAAATTGAAGAAGCTCTGGTCTCTTAGTAGCCCCATGTGCATCCACTTATTCCAACTTTCTTAAACAAAGAGTAAAATGCATTCAGTTTTCATTTCCGTTTTAAATTTTTGGTTGTTAAGGTTAGGGGCTGTCAAGGCAACTCCAGCTCATAGCCACCCAGTGAATGGCAGACAGAAACCTTGCCCAAACTTGCACCATTGTCACAATCTCTGTGGTGTTCCAAACCATTGTTGCAGTCACTGTGCCAATCCATAAGAAACTCAATGAGAGTCGATACATGAGACTCAATGAGAGTCTTCTCTTTTTCTGGCTTTCCATTTTTCCCAGCATGATGCCTTTCTCCAGGAACTGGCCCCTCCAGACAACATTTCCAAAATATGTGAGATGAACTTTCACTCTCCTTAATTCTAACAAGTACCCTGGCTTCACTTCTTCTAACACAAATTTGTTCGTTAAGGATAATATCAATACAACAATTCACAGGCACCTTTTCTTTGTCAGTCTTCCCTTTTAATTGTCCAACTTTGACATGCATGTGAAGCAATTTAAAAATCTCATGGCTTGAATCAGGCGTGCCTAAGTCTTTAAAATTACACCCTTGCTCTTTCACACTTAAAAGAGGGCTTTGACAGCAGCTTTGCCCAGTGCAACATATCTTTCCATCTCTTGACTGCTGCTTTCATGATTACGCATCAAAATGAAATTAAATCATTGACAAATTTAATTTTTTTTCCATCTCTAATGATACGGTTTAGTAGTCAAGCATTTTTCCCCCTTAATGTTAGGGTGTAATCCATACTGAGGGCTGTATTGTTATGTGCTGTCAAGTTGACTATAACTCACAGCGACACTAATGAACAACAGATCTCAACCTTGCTCATCCTCAGGATCTCAGACTATCTCTAAATTTAGGAGAATTTAGAAAGGATTGCATGCTGTTTAGTTTCTTTCCTCTAACCTCTAGCGTTTGCTTACCCATACATCTTTATCTTTGGTAGCAAGGGGAACTTTATATTATAGATATGGAGAGTAAATAGACCAGAGTAGAAACTTGAAATCTGGAAAACAGTGTTACTCTACCTGGAAACAGAGCTCTCCTACACTTTTCTTGTAGACTAATGTGTGGTTCTGGCTAGATGATAAAAAGCTGGAGGTTCATTTTCAAAATCTTGCTGATATTATGGCATGTGGAGACAGTTTCGATGGTTCACTGGACCTGGGCATCTGGAATAGTGAGGAAAATGGGTGGTAAGCAGGATGTTGAATATTTCCTTGCTAGTTTCCCTCTCGGCATATGCAGCGTTTTAACTGATTGCAACTCTCTGTCCTTTCAGCCATTAATGGACTGATCTACGGCTTGCCAGGCCTGATTATGTATGAGCAAGAGTGGGTGAGGCTGCATCTCCTGAACATGGGCAGCTCCCAAGACATTCACGTGGTTCATTTTCATGGCCAGACTTTGCTGGATAATGGCACCAAAGAGCACCAGTTAGGAGTCTGGCCCCTTCTGCCTGGTAAGACCCTACACAATGGAAAAAGGATCCTGCTAAGAAATAGTGAGAGAAGCAATCTTAGCATCCTATCTCTCCCTCTCATTCTCTCCTTATGTATGTACATCATCAGGAACCAGAACCTAGAGTTCTGCCATAGATCTCGGGCACAGCCATATCACAAACTGTAAGGAGAATTAAAAATTTTTAAATCAGCTATTTATGAATTTTTGGCTGAACCACCCAGGCTGAGTATTTAGTCAATCTAGTTGTAAGAGATGCTACCTTGGGCCACATTGCAAAATACATCTAACAACTAAATTTTGTCAGGGAGAATAATTAGATCCTGACTAGGGTTTGGGGATTCTTAGATTATCCTGACTCTATCACCTTGATATCTTTGGTTAAGGGACACTCCTTGAGAATCATAATCTTGTACTATTTAGAGATGAAAAAGTAATTAAAAATGAAACAAAAAAATAGGGCGTTTAAAATTTTTCATGTGAAAATTATTGATAAGGGTCAAGCTAAATGGCAATTTATCAAAAAGGATTTTTTATGCCAGTGAGGTGTGTGTGTGTGTGTGTGTGTGTGTGTGTGCGTGCGTTATGGGTAGAGGTAGGAATGCTAGAAGTCATTGATTCTCAAATTTTAGTGAGCATAACAACAACAAAAGCCCCTAGGAAACTAGTTAAAATGCTGGTGCTAATACAGAGATCTTGCTTACAAAGACTCAAGATACAATAGGTCTTGAACAGGGCACCAAGGAGCCTTCATTTTGACCAAACCTACTGTCTATAAAAGCTTTCCAAGAACCAAGTGAATGCCAGTCCCTGGGCAAAACTTTGAGTAGGGAAGTCGGAGTGAGACTCTTAAATGAAGGAACAGAAGGTCTCATGAACTTTGGTTGATTGAGAGCAGGGAAGACAGAGAGGTTTTATTGTTGTTTTTAAGATCCATGTGGGTTTGTTGGGAGGGTCATTCTTATTTTATTTTATACTACTATATTTCTTTTTTTTTCCAATACTGGCGTATTTACAAAGTTCATACACATTGTTTTTCACATTGTTTTTATCTTTCCCATTTCCTTTATACCCACCCCCATCAATTTGTGCAACCCTATGATTAACCACCCCCCGCCCCACCCCATCCTCACACCTCTGCTCTTACCCTCCCATTGGATCCTCATACTCATTCTACAATAATGGTCTTATACAATATTTGTCCTTATAGTTCACTCAGCATAATGTTCTTCACTCCCTCCCAAATTAGGTAGTGATTTACATGCTGCATAGTTTCCATACACCATTGCTGGGACTGTAAAATGGTACAACCACTCTCGAAGGCAGTTTGACGTTTCCTCAGAAAGCTGAACAAAGAAATTCTATATGACCCAATTATTCTACTGCTTGAAATATACTCTGAGAGAATGAGAACTGAGGCACAAATGGAGACTTGTATCCCAGTGTTTATAGCAGTGTTTTTGACCATCACCAGAACATGGAAACAGCCCAAATGTCCAACCAAAACAGAATGGATTGAGAAACTATGATACATTCACACAATGTTGCTGTTTTTGCTAACATGCCAGTGACTCACTAATAAATACATTGTTTTTAAGTGCTGACAAGTCAACTACAACTCATAGCAACCTTATAAATAATATTCAAATAATTATAGAAAGGACCATTCTGTTATATTAAGGAACAGAAGGGATTAAGTAAACCACATGCCCCTGGAAACTTTATGAATTTGGAGTCCATCGAGTCATAGACAACTCATAGCAACCCTATGAAGAAAGCCTTAAGCACTTGTGTAACTTCCCCTGTTTCTCCACGTTTAGAAATTCTGGAAGCAAGCCATTTCAGAAGTGGATGTCACTCTTGCTTCCAAGCTTATTTTAATCAGGGAGCTCCACCAAACACTGTCCACCATGAGTAACCATTATCGCATTTGACACATCAGTGTCACAATGTTTAGCATCACAGCAAACATGACTTACCTCTGTACAACAAATGGACAGACCAGTGTTATACCACGTAGAAGAATGTTTGACAATAAACAATTAAAACCAGACCTAAGGTCTGCAAATTAGAATCCAGCTCCTGCAGACTCCAAATTGGATTCCAGCCTCATACTGCTGACCAACCTGTATGCAGAACAGATTATCCAAGAGGCTGGGCTCTATGAGGAGAAATGTGGCATCAGGATTGGTGGAAGATCTATTAGCAATCTGTGTTATACAGATGACACAACCCTGCTTGCTGAAACTGAGGAGGACCAGAAATGCTTGCTGCAGAGGGTCAAGGACTTCAG